CACCGCGCCGATGGGCGCGCCCGCCGCCTCCTGCCGTACTGCGCCCAAGAGCGGCGCCAATGAAACCGCGTGCCGGGGCGATCCGGCCGTAATGCTCTGAGTGGCAGCGCAACTCACGCAAGCCCGGGTGGTGCTGGAGAAGATCACAGAAATCACAGAATCGCTGAGTCAATTAGGTTGGAAAAGACCTCTGAGATCATCGAGTCCAACCTATGACCGAACACCACTGTGTCAACTAGACCAGGGCGCTGAGTGCCACGTTCAGTCATTCCTAGAACGCCTCCAGGGATGGTGACTCTACCACCTCCCTGGGCAGCGCATTCCAATGTCTAATCACCCTTTCTGTGGAAAAATTCCTCCTGGTGTCCAACCTAAACCTTCCCTGGAGCAGCTTGAGACTATGTCTTCTCATCCTGTCGGTGGTTGTCTCGGAGAAAAGGCCGCCCCCCACCTGGCTATGACCTCCTTTCAGGAAGTTGTAGATGTCCCGAGACAGCCCTGGGAGATACAGAAGTGTCCCGGGGCAGCCAGGGCCGGTTTTCGGAGGGGTGTCCAGCACCAGCCCCGGGGGTCTCAGAAGGGGCATCCTGGGCTAGCCCTGGGGGTGGGGAGTCTGTGGGAGTGTTCCAGGGCAGCCTTTGCAGGGCCTGGGGCAATGCTGGACCAGCTCTGGAGAGGTTCGCTGGGGGTGGTGTCACAGTCTGGTCCCTGTAGCCTCTTCTCTAAGGGCTCCCTGACCCAGGTGTGGGGTGATATGGGGACCTCAGAGCAGGCTGAGTGTCTGGGGTGACCCCAGAGCTTCTTCAGCATCCAGACTCTGTGGGTTCCCCAGGGAATAGGGGTAAAGGGGCCCAGGGCCATGGAGGCAGGGGTCCAGCAGGCCCAGGGCTGGCCGTGCCCCCCCGCACCACCTCCCAGCCATCTTCTGCCTGAGCAGAGCTGGACAATCTGTCCTTGTCCCCAGCAGGTCTGAAGTAGGTCAGGGAGGCTTGGCCAAGCCCCTGGGGAGGGGAGTGGGTGGCAGGGGGGTGCAGAGGGCCCCAGGCACCTGCCCCAGTGGCCACACCACAGGTTTGGTGCCCACCCCTTGTCCTGGTGGGACCCTGGTGTCCCTAGCCCAGGGACATGGGCATGCAGGGCATTTCCCCAGCCTCTCTTTGGTCTCCTGGTGTGCTTTGGGATCCCTCTGCATCCCTGCAGGCTCTGCACCCCTTCTGGGAGCCAGAGTCCCGTGGGCACAGGTTGAGGTGTCTGAATCCTGAGGGACATCACCCAGTATGGGGACCTGGGGGGCTGGTGATGGGGATTGAGCGTGGGGCTGGGCTGACTGGGAACGGCAGGATGACCAAAAGGAATAAGGAAGATGAGAGAGGGATTTCTCACCCCTTAATTGCAGTTAATGATTGGCGAATGTGTTTACTGCAGGAGGCAAAGGTCTGGCGCCGTCAGGATGCAAGTGCAGAGGCAGCATCCCCAGCGACAGGGCCACAGGTAAGGGATGACAGCCCCAGCCCCTATGGGCACCACGGCCCATTGTGGGGGGGTGGGGGGCATGTCTGTCAGCTGTGGGGCTGCCCACAGCCCATGGCACAAGGAGGGAGACCCCACAGTGGTGCCACGGGTTGCTCTCGGACTCCCAGCACTGCTTGGGGCAGCCATGTTGGGCGTGAGCAATGGAGCCTCCAGCCAGGAGGCTCCTGGAGTCCCCAGGCGTACTCACGGTCCCCGGTACTTGGAGGTCAATCCTGCGCCCCCGTTCCATGTCCCCAGGGAGCCTGTGCCCAGGGGTGTGGGATGGAGCCTGGTGCTTGCTCACCAGCCCAGCTCAGCAGAGGGACTGTCCCCACCAACACCCCTCCTGCCCCAATGGGTGCTCCCCAGGAGGGATTTCGGGGGGCAGCCCTCAGCCGCTTGTTCTCTGTTGTGTGCCCACAGGATTCCTGTCAGGATGGCATGGCAGTCGCTGGTACTGCTCCCCTTCCTCCTGGCAACAGGTAAGGACTCTTCTTGGCACCTGGCATGGGTGGGCAGGGGGTCATGGAGCTGCTTTCAGCCCCCAACATTCCTTCTAAATTCCCTGAAAGCAGCTGGGACCCCAAAACAGATGTTCACCCCACTGGAGAACCACGTGTAACTTTGTTGCCCTGGGACAGGGCAGGGCTGGGCAGTGGGGAGAGCATCCAGCATGGGAGCTGCAGCTGGAAGTCAAGCGTGGTCTGGAGGTGTGGGAGGAGCACAAGGAGATGAGGGGTGGTGGGTTCCCCTGCCTTCCCTGGAGACCCAAACCATGGCCAGGAGCTGGGGCTGGAGATAAGTAGGTGCTGCCAGATGTGGGGCTGCTGGCAGAGCTCCTACTCCTTGTAGTTTCAGGCAACACAGTCCCCATCTTCAACATGAGCCTTGTTTATGTGCCAGAGGACCTGGAGTTGGGTGAGTAGGGGCAGTCTCAGGAAGGCCCTGGATTGCAGGAGGAGCGGCCGGGGGGTTCCTCAGACAGGAGCTGACACTGCCTGTGCCCCCAGACCAGTTTGCTTTCCAGCTGAAGGCTTATGACCTAGACAAGGACGACATCCTCACCTATGGAATCAGAGGGACAGATTCCTTCTACTTCTCTGTCGATCCCAGTTCAGGCAATGTGACGCTGAGGAATTCCCTGGACCGTGAGGTGTGGGCAGAGATGGGACAGATGTCCTTGCCTGACTGGGGGTCTGGGGTGACGGGGACAGAGGGCAGAGCCATGAATCCTGTGGGAGAGCTGCTCATGGCAGTACCGTGTGTCACTCCCCGGCCCCGAAACCCAGCTCCTGGGGGGAGAGTTGTCTGGGAGGAGCATCCCATACAGAGGTTGGGGCTCAGCCGTCCAGGGACTGAGCTTCACCTGACCCTGACTGAGTCCTGCCTTGTGTCCCCTCAGCTCCAGGCCAGGCTCACCATCACTGCCACAGTGTCTGATGGTGTAAATAATGAGGTAAGTGCTGGGGCATGGGCTAAGTGTCTGCAGTGGGAGGGGAGCAGGGTCTCAACAGGGCCACGGACAAGGCTCAGTGGGAAGGGGACTAGAAGTGGGTGGGTGATGCTGGCTGGCTTCAGAGCCAGGGTGGGCATGGGGTGCCATAACTGCATGAAGCTCTGCTGGCCACCATCTCCCATACCCACCCTATGTCCTCTCTGATACCCGGTAGGTCTCCCAAATACTCCCCATCATCGTGGAGGACCGTAATGACAATGCCCCGGTCTTCTGGAACGTGCCGTATAACGCCTTCATCCCCGAGGTACCTTCCTGGGACCTCCTGGCTTCCACGGGCAGCAGGGCAGGGGTGCTGGGTGGCTCCTGTGGGATGGGTGTGCCAGCAGTGGGACAACAGTGTGCTGGAAGCTGTGTGACCCCACACCTGGGCGTAACAGTGCACCAGGAACCCTGTGACCCCAGACCTGGGCGTTTGGTGATGGTGTACCTGGGCGTGGGGCGATAGTGCAGCCAGCACCTGGGAGTGCTCCATGCTGGGGCAATTCCCTGTGGGTGCTTCTGTGTCACTCTGAGGCGTGACACATGGCTGGGACTCTGCCCTTGCAGCTTCCAATCAGGGTGTGCCCGAGCTGACTCTCATCCCAGGACAGGGTGACATTGGATCAGGGTGCAGATGGGGTGTGGGGCTGAGTCTGGCCCTGTCTGGCAACTCCAGGACTGGGGTGCAGCCCCTGCTCCCAAGGAGGGTGGCAGGGGGATCCAGCCTCTGCCCAGCTTGAGCAAGGGCAGCATCTTATCCATGTGTGTCCCACGGCACTGGGCAGTGCTTGCAGCCCTGTTGGGTCAGAACACCCCAGAGCAGGGCTGGCAGGGCCTGGGCCCAGCATCACTCCACCTGCTCTCTCACCGTCACTCCCCTGTGTGCCCAGAACTCAACACTGCACAGCATCATCTACAACGTGTTTGCCAATGACAGCGACACTGGGAATGCCTCCAGAGTCAGCTACAGCATCGAGGAGGTGAGCACAGTGCACTGTGGGGTAGGGCACGCCAGACCCAAACCCCACTGCTGGGCCACCCCTTGGGGCTGAGGTGTTGGGGGACCTAGCCAGGGCACCCCTTGTCCCTGGCGGAGCAGGAGGGTCTCAGGTTAGGACCAGGTTGTGTCTGGCTCTGCACCCACTGGACAAC